GATGATAACATTAATGACAATAATAATAAAGACAATACCAATAACAACGATAACGGGGAGGGAGAGCAAATCGGAACAAGGGAAATAACATGAAAGAAATAACAGGAAAAGAACGAGAATTCCTCCACAGAAGATCGTCTTGTCTGTGAGGGAAGTGTCACCTCGAACCATATATGGAAAGTAAATTGGAAAGTATATTCATTTTAGAGAAAAAGTGAAGTTATTGCAGAGCGAGTAGGGATGGGATTGAAGGGAAATGATTGAATAAATGTGAGGGAAATTATTGAATAAATGTGAGTGAAGGATGAATAAATGGTGAGTGAAATGATTGAATAAATGGTGAGGAAATGATTGAATAAATGGTGAGTGAAGGATGAATAAATGAGTGAAATGATTGAATAAATGGTGAAAATGATGAATAAATGGTAGGAAATGATTGAATAAATGGTGAGAAATGAATAAATGTGACAATGATTGTAAATGGTGAGTGAAATGAATAAATGGTGAGGGAAATATTGAATAAATGAAAATGTGAAATGATTGAATAAATGGTGAGTGAAGAATTGTTACTTAATTGCTGTTTGCATTATGCATTGGTACACGAGATATATAGGAGGGGGAGGGAGAGAGAAGAAAAGAGAGAAAGAGAGAGAGAGAAAATGAGGAGGAAGGGAGAAGGCGAGTGAAGAAAAGATGAGATAGAGATACAGAGAGAGAGAAAGAGAGAGAGAGAAGGAGAGAAAGAGAAAGAGGGAGAGAGAGAAGAAGGAGAGAAAGAGAGTGAGAGAGAGAGAGAGAGAGAGAGAGGAGAGAAGAGAGAGAGAGAGAGAGAGAGAAGAGAGAGAGAGAAGAGAGAGAGAGAGAGAGAGGAGAGAGAGAGAGAGAGAGAGAGGAGAGAGAGAGAGAGAGAGAGAGAGAGAGAGAGAGAGAGAGAGAGAGAGGAGAGAGAGAGAGAGAGAGAGAGAGAGAGAGAGAGAGAGAGAGAGAGAGAGAGAAGAGAGAGAGAGAAGAGAGAAGAGAGAAGAGACAGAGGAAGAAGGAGAGAAAGAGAGAGAGAAGAGAAGAAGAGAGAGAAAGAGAGAGAGAGAAGGGAAGAAGGAGAGAAAGAGAGAGAGAGAAGGGAAGAAGGAGAGAACGAGAGAGAGGAGGGTGAGAATGAGGAGGAGAAGGAGAGAGAAAGAGAAAGAAGCAGACAGGCTGAGAGAAAGAGAAAGAGAGAGACGGACAGACAAGCAAACAGCCAGAGAAAGAAGACAGACAAGCGCGTCCACACAGAAACACGAAATCATAAGAACCGAAAAAAAAAAGCCAAGCCACCGAAATGTGTCGAGGAAATGAAAAAGTTTGCTTTTCATTTATCTCTCCTCCCTATTCGTCCCCACAAGCTATTCTTCTTTTCACTAAACTTTCTTTTTTTCACCTTTGCCCTTGCTCTCCCTCTCTCCCCTCCCCCCCCCCCCCCTGCCATTATCCTATTCCGGGAACCTCCACAAATAGTTTTTTTCCCCTTCGAGTGGGAAGGGAAAAATACTCGGAAGTTTTTGCTCTGCGCTGTCTTCTCTTTTTCTCGAACGGAAAAGGGTTACATAAACAAATAATTATTTTTTATAAAATGAAAGAAAAATATTTATAGTAAAAAAAAAGCTTTCAACTAAAAAATTACTAAGAAAAAGGACAAGAAACATTTTTTTTATATATATATAAAATGAAAGAGAAATATTAGTAAAAAAAAGCTTTCAACTAAAAATTACTAAGAAAAAGGCAAGAAACATTTTTTTTTTTTATAAAATGAAAGAGAAATATTATAGTAAAAAAAAGCTTTCAACTAAAAATTACTAAGAAA